CATTAAAGACTAGTTTTAAGTATAGTTTTCAAAAGTCAGAAGAGGAGACCTGTGCACTTCGGTACCAGTTTAAGAGGTTAAAAGGATAAAACAAATTAAATAGGTTCCCACTAGATGATAAAACAAATCAACGTGCCATGCAATGGACTCGAAGTGGAGATGTAGCTATTATAAAGGACTATGCGGATCTGGGGGACAGATCGGACCGAATTGGATCTTATTGTATGCAATCTTACCTTGCAAATATCGCGTAGTTCTCAGTAATTTAGAACCACGAAATATAATGTGTTAATACCTATACTAAGCTGTATTATTGAGAACAACTCGAATTTCCTAACAATCTACAAGTCACCCTGAACACACTGCATGAACCTTAGCAGCTTCCGTATTAGACATTAGAGGTCTTTCCTGATAATTACAGTCAGTACAACTCTGCTGCTTTGCCTCCCAGTAAACTATGGCATAAAAAACAGCAAATTAAACAGCAAAACCCTGGCCACTCACCAATTGTCTTCTGCCCATTTGCAGCCATTAGTATCCACCACATGTAAACTGTATGCATGTCGTGACTTTGAAGACTGGTTCTCAAAACTGCAACCATACATTATGAAGATTGAATGGATAAAAATCATCCCAAACGAACCAAATACAAATGGTAGCATAACTGACAGTTCTATATGGTCCAAGAGAAGTTCTGAAAGTGACTGACCTCTGGTGAATAAGATCTCCGTGAATGACTACCAAAGATCCAGCTTTTACTTCAAGTGAAACGAAATCTTCCTGGTAATAGCATGGAGATGGCTTATCAAAATGAACCCCACTTTCATCTCTAAGGAATCTCCTCACAAGGCCATCTAAAGAAATAGAACATTTTGTATGTTACATGAAGGAGTTCAATGATTTAAAGGTAGCAAGACGAAGAAGAGTTGGGAGAAACAATACTTTTGTGGGACCCTGGTATAGTCCATAGACAGCCATTTACAATTGTTGCGTCCTCTAAAGCTAGCCACAAGCCAGTGCATGTTGTTGGTTCAGTGTACAGAAAAGAGTTATCTTGGTGCGGCACCACTTCACCCCCAATACCGGGTTGCTGAAAACCAGAGTTTTACATGTCACTCATAGAAGGATGGATAATAGTAATTACAACTCCATCATGGTTTTTGTTTCTTTTCTGTTATTTGTTCAATTGCAAAGAGTGTGGTGACTCTACGTATATCTTCTACGATGTCATCATACAATTAGAGACAAGTGAAAAAGCATTTTCAAGGGACACAAGAGGATATGCAGGGCTAAAGAACATTTAGTAGTTCACTTCATCATAGTGGGCTTTGAATTTTTTAAAGTGACAAGACGTGAACATGGTATGGATGCATCCTTGGATAACACGAGCAAAGTAATGCGACATGAGCAAAAATATATTATTTCAAAAACTAATATGCTATTGAGTACATGATTCATCCAACTAATATAAAAATTAGATAGGACTGATGGGTTACTCAAGTATGGGTTTTGGGATCCAATGCAAACAACAATCATCGAAGCTCTACTGCTTCGTACGATTATTTAATTTTCTTCACTGTTTTACTTAGCTCGCTTACAAACATATTTAACTGCTAATACACAAACCTAACGAGTTATATCGACACGTGTCCTTGACCTCATAACAAATCTAACCATACCGTTTCCCTGGTAAACATATACCTCGTTTGTATGGAGGACCTAACACCCTGGGAAGCTTTTCTTTTAGACAATTTCATTGACCTTGTTAAATAAAAGAATCGAGATTTTTCTCGTACATTAAGTCCAGAAATAATATCACTTTTCAACTGAGATACATTCTAGCCTTACTAAGACACCAACCTTCTAGAATGACACACACCTATCTGACTGGTGATCTTGAACAACCAAGGATTGGACATGATTTAGCTGAGGACCGTACAAAGATATAGGGCAGAGAAACCCCATTACTAGATAAAACAATACCAGAATTTACCTTAAATATGTACATTGATTGAATGACTACTGGCCTCTTATAACCCAAGGACCGCAACATGCTTGAGACTTTGTCTGAGCTAGAGAACTTATTAAATACAGCATCTTTTTCATGAAGAGCTGCAACAGCACAGGTACGAGAAATCTAAGAACAACCTTGTTAAGGTAGAGACTAAAAAGGTTACTCGAAAAATGAAACAACTCTGTTGACAACAAGTAATCAACAGAACCATACCATGTCCAACTTTATTTATTGAGAGTTGCTTTGGCTGCTTTAGGTTTCTATCTTCATCAAATGCTTTCTCTGCCAAGACCATAAATATCAATAAAGCATACTAAGCAAATACTTAAAACAAAATTAGCCTATGAAAGGAATTGAAAATTATAGACATAGAACTAAATATCATCTAAATAACGCCAAAACTGTCTCTCCATGGAGACAAAAAATTAACATCTTTACAGTTTTTGATCCTTTGAAAGCCAATAATAAACTGATAACTGCCTCCTCAGCTATAATTGAAAATCAAGAACCAAGAGAAAAGACTGACATGCAAACTCAAAGCCATTAATACATCCATTCACTCGTTCTTTTGCAATTTTAATTGAACTTGTTCGTAAATACTACCGTTTACAACAAATTTTAAACGGATAAATAATACATTGCAATCACAAACAAAACATGAAGAAACATAATTTCATTGATAAAACAATATGGATATTTATCCCTTGATTCTTATCTCCTAAGATTACTCTATGATGAGGGTCGTAGCATATTTCTCGAACTATGATGATAGGGAGAGTCTATCCACATCTTGATCTCTGTGAATATTCCAGAATATATTATACTTCGTATAGGCATGAACTAGAGATTAGAGTAGAGTAGAATCCAAGAATACTATCTGAAATTGAATTGGTCTCTCTTATCGAGTCCCACAAAATTTTGATGTCTACAACTCCTAATAAGTTAAAAGACAAAAGACAGTACAAAAAAACAAGAAGAAATTAAACACAAGCATACCTTCCCAGAAGAATGAAATCTTCTCAGCACTTTCAAAGAAGTGATCATTAGTCGTTTCTTGCTGAAACCCAAATGCCACAAAACACACACAAAATCAAAAAAAGACAAAAACGGGAAACATGGGTTTATCTCAAAACCAAATAAACTAAGCTAATGAATTCAAAAATCAAACTACAGAGTATAAAAATTGAATCTTTACTTGATTCTTGGTAGAAAAAACAGAAGCATCTGAAGAGCAATCAAACTCATCAAGCAACTGTTCCATTCTCTTCCTCATAGACTGGATCTCTTCTTGGCTTGCAAATGATTCTAACACCAAATACCCATTAGAATCAAAGAACTGAAGCTGCTCTGAACTGAGGTTTCCTTCAATAACCACCATGTTTGACCTTCTGAGCTTTGGTTGGTGCTGTAAAAGGGTTGCAGATTTTCTGTATATTTTCTTTTGATAATTTATAGAACTAATGTGCAAATTATTTTAAAGTTTGGTACTAAAATGTTAACTCAGAAAATAGTTTATATTTGTTTTTGTGTTTAGGTGCATGTTCATGTTCTTACCCAAAAATCTCATGATCTTATCTTCCAACGTAATGGTGATGACAAAAATCAACGGTGGGAGTACTATTTATGCACAAATCTAATGTTAATGTATACATTAAAATTCATTACATTATTAATATTATGTATTAGTAATAAATAAATATCTTAATACGTGTATATCGTTTGATAGAGTGTATAAGAATAATGTCAAATAAAGTGCATATCATTTGGTAGAATGTATAAGAATAATACTAAATATATAGTGTATTACACCATTAGTAATGTTGGCATTAATCATAGAGAGATTATATTTTATGCGTTGTTTGATTTGGTGTATCAAAAATAACATGTATTGCATATTTTTCTAATTATTACTATTATTCATAAAAATATCCTCCACATGGTGGAAAAGATGTAGAATTTTTTTTTTTAGAGACAATTATGTCTTTAATCATGTAAATGCATGCATTAATAACTCTTGCATTAACATTCAATATTGTGACCTAGTGATCAGTAAAGTTGTTGAAAACCCTTACATTGTACATGTTGCGGATGGGAGGTGTCATATAATAGATATCACATGGAATAAGTTGAGAGTTGTGCAAAAATTGACCCAACACCACGATCATAAAAATAAACTCGCATTGCTAATATCATGATTTTTCATATATTAATAATATACACTTTAATGCACAATAGAGTAAACATTTAGTTATACATAAGTTGAAAAATTACTGAACAAGATACTACTAGTACAAGGTAAGACATATTATATTTTGGGAAAACTACATAAATGGGCCATAAAACCCAAAATAATTACATGTTCATATCCAAATCCAAAGTAATTCAAAAAATATCATTCTCTCAAAAAATAAAACAAATTATAGCCCATACCCTCATTCATTAAGAATTATAATATATATATATATATATATATATAGAGAGAGAGAGAGAGAGAGAGAGAGAGCGGGAGAGTTAAACAAAATTAGTTGGGGGTAACTAGTGTAATTATTTAGTGGGGTATGAATGTAAGGGGTATATGTTCGTAATTATTTTGTTTTTATGGGATATTTGCTTAATTTCCCGCTTATATTTTCTAGTACAGACTATCAAATGATCACATACATAAACGACATGATATACCTCTTAATTTTACCATTTGTAACTAATATGCCCCTTGTTATGAATGTGACTCATAAATATCTTTAACAAAGGGCATATAAACTCTATATGACAATGTTTCAGATCCTTTTTGCCTTTTAATATATCAAATAAAATATTACTACTAATATATAAAACTAATGCATACATTATTTCGGAGAAGTGCACTATTCCAGCATGCCCCACCAGCCCATACTCAGAGCACGTGCATCCATCTTTTTTTTTCCAGGTCACGTGCGCACTTTCTTCTCATAACGTTTTTTCTCTTTTGTTAAACCATTTTTAACACTTTGCCCTCTTCGCTTCTTCTTCAACTCTCTCTATACCTTCCCTCCCTCCCCCCGCCCTCTCTCTACCCGGAGCATCAAATCTTGAAATCCATTGAAGAGAGAGGAACAAAGGGTCGGAGCAAAAACAAAAAAAATCTCTTTTGAAAATTCAATAAAATTGGGTTTTTTGGGTAGTGATTCTCGAAAAACCCTTTTAGATCAATCAATTCTGAGAAATTTGAGCTTTCTTTTGTTGTTTTTGGTGTGCAATATGAACTGAAGCAGTAAGAGATTGAAACAGAGAGCTATGCACGCTTATAATAGACTACCGAGTAGTGGACACAGTAGCCCATCAACGCCGTCATCGCCACGTTCACGGTCGCCTCGTTTACGTAGCAGTAGTAATAGTGGTGGTGGAGGTGGAGGTAGTGGTGGTGGAAGGGTTAAACCCAGTGCCCGTTTTACTTCGGGTCAACAGCCACCGAGAACCCTAGCAAATTGTATAACTGGGGCTATTCTATCTGTTCTGGTTCGTCGTCAGGGGATTTTCCTATTTGCTCCTTTGCTTTATATTGCTGGGATATTGTTTTATATGGGGACAGTACCGTTTGATGTTGTTCCTATTATCAGGCACCGTCCTGCTCCTGGGTCTGTTTACCGGAGCCCTCAACTCTATGATAAGCTTCGACCTGAAATGAACTCTGATAATTCCACTGCTGATGCGGTTAGATTATTTACTTTGCCTTCTATGGTTTGGGTGGAACTGACAAACAAAGTCTTTTCTTTTGTCTTACTGACTTTTGGGTTTTTGGGGATCACTGAGTTAGTTCCATCGCAAATTTTATTCAATTAGTATTGTTCCAGTTTGAGTTTTTTTGTTTAGTCCAGATCTGTAATCCTGAGTGTATTTGGTTCTGCTCTGTTGTATATCAATGCCATTGATCATGATTGTTTTACTGTTTCCCTACGGATTTTTTTTTCCTTTTCCTTATGTCTTCATCTTTGTTACATCATTGGTTACTTCAAGTGCTTGCTGAGCAGTACATCTGAGTATTCTGTAGAAAGTGTATATGATAGCTGCTAGTTGGGGTGCTATGTAATTGGATGGGATCTTTTAATTGTTAACTTGTTTTCTTACTGAAAGAGGTTGAAGTGTCATTTTCCTTGTCCGAAGATTCAAAAGATTGATGTATGAGGTGCATATAGCAAAAAGTAGGATAATCAGTGATATGTATGGAAAACAAGGACTCTGACATGTTGCATGAATTTATAATGAAAAAACTATGTTGTTGCATGTGAAGGTAGAATCCTGGCACTTGGATGGAGGTGTTAACCTGGTTTCAAATGTCACGAGCTCTTGGGGATAGGAGAAGAGTAGAAATGCTGCTAGGGGTTGAGACTCTAGGGATATGCACAATGATTTATTTGAACTCAGTTAGTGTTCCCAATTCCAATTTCCACCTACAGTGGTTGAGTGAAAGTCCTCTTAACAGTGTGTCTGTGATACGTGTTTAGAAATGTTAAGATAATATATATGACTGTTGAGTTCTCCTTAAAAACTTTTTAATTGTTCAAGACCCTTTCTCTGCTTCCAGCATGACATCAAAACATTACTGAGAATTGTGAGAATCAAGTAAGTAGTCTTTTGACCTTGAATAGTCTGAAGGGCATAAGTTTGTTTGTGATCATTTGAGGCAATCAGAAATCCCACTGAAGTCTGCACAAACCCAAGTGACTAGTGTTGTTGCTGTCGAGTCCCTATGTTTTGAGAAACATCGAGTTTTCTTTTTAATCGTGAAATATTTGATGATAAATTTAGGATCTTATAAAGGATTTTTCAGGCCAAATATGTTGTATGTGTTGGAGTATTGGCTGATCAAGAACTTGCATGCTGGAGTATTGGCGAGTCCCTATGTTTTGAGAAACATTGAGTTTTCTGTTTAATCGTGAAATATTTTATGATAAATTTAGGTTCTTATAAAGGAGTTTTTAGGCCAAATATGTTGTATGTGTCGGAGTATTGACTGATCAAGAACTTGCACGTCCAGAAGATAAAAGTAGCCAAAATGAGAATGTTGAGATGAATGTGTGGCCATAATAGGAAAGATAGAATTAGAAGCACGGATATTCGGGATTAGGTGGGGGTGCCCTCCGTGTAGGATAAGATGAGGGAAACAAGACTGAAATAGTTCATGCATATAAAAGATGCACAAATGCCCAGTTAAGGAGGTGTCAGAGGTTTGCTATGGTGGGTCTGTGGAGAGGTAGAGGTAAACCGAAGAAGTATTAGGGAGAGGTGATTATCGAGAAATATATGAAGAAGGTCAAGGATTATGGTAGAAGGTTAGTAGGTGGTCGTGGTTAGTATAACCATTATTTTTCTCCTATTTTCTTATTTTTTGATTTTATTAGTACTGGTTGTTTCCTTTGCTTCAGTGATTATATTATTTGTTGTTACTACTGTTCTTTTTTCCATTATTTTCAACATGACATCTTCTCTACTGTTTTATACCTAGTTTGATATGCTTTACTTGGGTGAGGGTCTATTGGAAACAACCTCTCTACCTTCACAAGGTAGGGGTAAGACTGTGTACACACCACCCTCTCATACCCCACTTGTGGGATTTCATTGGGTATATTGTTGTTGTTGTTGTTGTTGTTAAATTTAGGTTCTTGTTGCCCCCTTGAATTTTTCCGATTTCTTTGTGTCAGTAAGTGTGTTACTTTGTAACTTGATCTTGTTTTATGATTTCTGATATTTTAGTTCAAATTCTCCTAAAGATGGTGATCTTCTAAAATCTTATTAAGTAGAGGTGCAAATTTCCTGTAGATATCAACAATTTGGAAAAACTCCTATAGAGGTGGTGAATGGAGACCATGCATTAACAAATCCTCAGGAGGTACAAAATTTGGAGAATCAAACTTATCTTTTATCCTTGTTAGTATGCTATATACTGCCTCTCTTTCTCTCTCTTAATTATTAGTCATATAGTAAGTGCAACTCTCTGGTTGCGTTCAGGTTATATTGGAGGTTTCCCAATGCATTAACTTATAGTAATTTGAATTTCAATATAACTAATGCAGTTATATGCTTGAAAGTTTATGTTCATTATACGTGTTGAGGTTTAGAGTACAAAATATTCTTCTCTTATTAGTTTAGAAACTAATAAACTCTGTATTCAGTTAAGTTTTCTTATTTAAATGAATTATCTTTTTATCATATAGTCTAAATTTTTCTTGTTTCCAATGGACTAATATCTTATATAAGCACCCTCTTGTTTCATGATCAGTCCGGCAAGCTTTTCCCTCTTGATATCTCTTTTCATATGGTACCACAACTCTATGGTTTTGATAAAGACCTAAGCAACTTCTTTTTATTAGTTGGTAGCATTATTTTTTTTGAGGCAATATTAGTTGGCAGCATTACAACATTTGTCTGGTCAAAGCTTTTACTTTCTCTTTTCATAATTTTTTTGAGCTTGTCTCTTTCCGGCAGTGTTATTAAAAGCGAAAAGCGCAAAAAAGCTCTAAGGTCCGTGGGGGCTTTAAGCGCAAAGTGCAAATAAAGCGTGGGCTTTAATGAAAAAAGGCGCAAAGGGAGAAAAAAATAAAATGTGTATGTTTAGTCCAAAACTAATAATTATAAACATGAATGACAAATATATGACCAAAGAAATTGAATTTTTTTAATGATAAAGTGAAATATCAATTGTTTAGTGTCACTTCTTCATAAGAGGCTCATTGACAAGGAAAAGTTTGTCTTAGAACTTTGATGACGGCACTGAAGCGCACATTAAGCGAGGCGAAGCGCTCAACGCATTTTGAGCCTCGCTTTAGGGCTTAAGCGCGCTTAAAGCGCGCCTTTGATAACACTGCTTTCCGGTGAACGTTCTAGTGGCACCACCCTTTTGTAAAATATGGTGATGATTTTATTAATGTCGGGGGAATCCTCGTATCAACAAGTACACCAAAATATGACTCTACAAAAGTCACCCACTCATCTATACAAATAAGAATCTCATGTGTGGACCAAAAAGGAACTAGAGGTCTCGCTTTCGTGTGGATACATAAGAAATTAAATATGAAAATTGGCATGACACAACTCTTGGAGAATATGATGCGCTCGACTTGCTTCTCTTGATCTCCACCCACTGCCAATAGAGGTGGGTCAATATCAATATCCATATATTAATATGGATGCAGTCTATCAAAAACAACCTCTCCACCCAAAAGGGAGGGGTAAGGTACGCGTACCTTCTACCCTCCCCAACCCAAATTCCACTTGTGGGATTATACAGGGCAGGTTAATATGGATACCCACTTGCAGAGTGCGGTAAGGACTCATTGTATGCATTTAGTTTCTGTTGGGCTTGTCATTAATAGACAATCTCTCGTACAATTTAAGGAGAAAATGTCAAATAGGGTAGTCATCCTTTAGAACTTTTCTACTTGCATATCTTATCAAAAGCCAAACCCCTAATGTTAATCTCATGTTTCAAACCCTAATGTACGTCCAAGATAGGATTTATATTAACTCATGAGGAGTTCAATTCAAAATCATGAAATTGGGATCAGATTCTTGTATATACTTCCATTTCCTTAAGTCCTTAAAGCGGGAGGCGAGTGCCTTTCACATCACTGGATTAGATCTTACCTTAATCATGAGAAACTGTTGGAATTAGGGCTAGGTTTCTTCAGTTCTCCTCAATGATTGTTGTCAATTGCTATAGCTCTTTTTTTGCAGTGCTCTAATATGAGTAAGAGCTCAACTTTTGTACCCAAAGTGTAAATGTAAAACATAGTGAAAGGACCTCAACACCATTAAATGTTTTCTTCTTTTCAAAGCTCACTCTGACCATGGTGACTGGTTCTCAGTTTCAACATTCTTGAATCTGAAGCTGCATAGACACTACAACTACGATGGATACCGATCCGTTCCATCAAGGTTTGGGACGTGACAAACAATTTGTGTATAATTTATTAAGATTCAAAATCCTATATTGCTAGATTGGCGATTTTGAGGTTCTTGGTCTACTGACAACAACAACATCAACAACATACCCAATGAAATCTCACAAGTGAGGTCTGGGGAGGGTAGAATATACGCAAACCTTACCACTACCCCGTGGAGGTAGAGAGACTGTTTCCAAAGACCCTCGGCTCAAATGTACTATTCCAGATATAAAGAAGAAATATAACACGTCACAAGAAAACAATGCAAAGTCTACCCAATGGCACACAACAACAAAAAAATAGTGCAGCAATCGAAACACAATAAACAACATACTAGATAGATTATTGAAAACAATAATAAATACTGATGGAGTGATGGATATCAAAACAAGAACTACAGTAATACGCTATTGCTCTACAGAGTTTGGAAATAATATGCAACGATATTCTGTTTATTTCTCTCTTTTTTTTCTTTTTAATTTTGACGAGGTTTGGTGATCAATGAACTAAGATTGTCTCACATATCTTCAGAAATTCCTGAATCAAATGGTTACCTTTATATTGAGGCAAATGGTGGTCTGAATCAGCAAAGGACATCGGTATGTCCTTCAGTTCCAAAGATAATTGTTATTGAAATGCTGAAGTTTTGTTTGGATGACGATGATAGTTTAAGATCACTAATGTTGCTTTTGTGCGTCCAGATATGCAATGCTGTTGCTGTGGCAGGTTTTCTTAATGCGACCCTGGTCATCCCACACTTCCATTTTCATAGCATTTGGAGGGATCCAAGGTTGGCTGCTGTTTCATCTTCTTTGTTTGCTTTGAGTAATTCAGTACCTTCCTTAGCGGGAGATTTATATACTGTATACTCAGAAATTTGGTAGAAGCATACATAGTTTTTAGTTGTTGCTATCATTACCTAGACTAGTTTTTTCTAATGAAAAGCTCTTGAGATGCTTTACCTGCTCTTATAGCATTAAATTGGCTTCTCTTTAATAGAAATGTGTACTACCTCTTTTTTTTGGGTAAAGTAATCAAATCATATTAGAAAAGCATCAAGAAGATGCAAATGTTACAAGAGAGCGAAAGAAGCTGCTTCAAACAAAACATGAAGCAAACTTATCTGTAAAACAGCCACAAAAAAATTCCCTGAATATTCTACTACGGTAAAGACAGAGAACTAACAAAATCTAAAAAGTTATCCACACGGTTAACAGGGGAGAGAAAGTGCCAGCTGAATAAACATCCAAACATCTAGCCTTGATGGTGCTAATAGGAGTCGAGATTCCATCAAATCATAATTGAATATATCACAAATGACCACAATAAGATGTTAGTAGCCCTAGAATTTGAACAGATTCGGAGGTTTGGTGAATCTGTACCTTAGGTTCATGGTCATTTCCTTTTGAGATATTGATGAAGCAAACTAAAATCTGATTTACTTCACGCAACCTAGTACCATTCTTGTCAATCTGGTGGTGGATTGTCGTGAAATTATTTATGGTATAGTGGGTGTTCGTTTTAATCATGGCTGTTCTCTTGATCAATCTTGTTTAATATCCATCTCTACACCTTCCTTTCATTTCAAACCATAAAAATGCTCGGCATTTGTTCTCTGCAGCAAGTTCGGAGAGATTTATGATGAAGATTTTTTTGTTAAAACCCTAGCCAATGATGTGCGAGTGGTGGACAAGATTCCTGATTATATTATGCAAAGGTTTGGTTACAATATGAGCAATGTTTACAACTTCAAGATCAAAGCTTGGTCCTCCATCAGTTACTACAGGGATACAGTTCATCCAAAGCTGCTTGAAGAAAAGTAAGTTTTTGGACTTTTTTTTTTGGCACCACTATTGGCTCTTGGGCCGAACTGCCTTTAGTTAGAATATTAGTGTCATATATATATATATATATATAAAACTAGAAGTGCTTACTTTCTAAAACAAGTACTTATGTTGAAGAGTAAAGTTGTTTGATCAAGTTCTTGGAAAAAAATAAGTGCTTTTGTGAGTATCTGAAGTGTTTGCTATGGAGATGAAGTTGAAAAAAATTAGTTTCTAACCTAAGCAAAAGAAGTTCTAATATTTTCTTGGGTTAAAACACCATTTCAAAATTATTTTCTCCAAACTTGCTAAACAACAGTCAAAACATTAAACTCATGTATTGTTGACAGCACATCTATGATTGAAATATAATAAACCGGCCTCTCTATTTTGTGATTCTCTTACATTTAATTAAATAAAATTGAAGAAATAAATAAAATTTCTCACAATAAATTCATATATCATTGGAAAGTACTAGTTGTAAAAGGAATCTTTACATGCTCATTTCGTTGTTTGACAGTGAAAAGTATTTTTTCCCGGAAAGATTGGCAAAACACAAACTGCTTCTTTAATAGTAAAAGTTCTTCTCAAATTATTTCACCAAACACAAGCTGCTACTATTCAAAAATACTTTCTCTGAAACCTGATCGGGCAAAAAGTCACTTTTAAAGATAAGCAGACTTCGGATTTTTAGAGCTCTCATGTAAATATGGTTTCAGTAGTACCTAAGTATTGTTTTGGTTCTTTGTTTATATATACAGTTACCAATTTCGAAAAGAAAAAAAAAGTGAACATTGAAAGCTTGGCTAACAAGGTCTAGAATTGTGAATGCCTAGACTTCCAATAGCTAAGTCTGTTATCGTGTTTCATCATCCAAAAAAAGAGTCTATTACCATGTTTGGTCAATTGGATATATTCCTTGCCAGTTCTTTGATGCTTAATTGGTAGGTTCGTTCTTCATATTTGAAGCATTTTGTTTTGTTATTTATCGCCACAGTTTTGCTAAGTGTGTCTAATCATTCACCAGGCTCATCAGAATATCCCCATTTGCAAACCGTTTATCATTTGATGCTCCTCCAGCAGTTCAGCGGCTTAGGTGCCTGGCAAATTATGAAGCTCTTAGATTTTCAAATCCCATTTTGAGTTTGGGGGAAACATTGGTGTCAAGAATGAAAGAACGAAGTGCCAACAATAGTGGAAAGTATATTTCTGTGCATCTCCGCTATGAGGAGGTTAGTTTCATGTGTGTAAACTGATTTTGTATGTGCTCCATAGCTTAGTTTTCCAAGGGTATTGAGCCTTGATCATATTCTCTTGCAGGATATGGTGGCTTTCTCTTGTTGCATGTATGATGGTGGTGAAGAAGAAAAAAGGGACATGGATGCTGCAAGAGAGAGAGGATGGAAGGGAAAATTTACAAAACCTGGTCGTGTGATTCGTCCTGGAGCAATCAGGATTAATGGCAAGTGTCCCTTGACTCCTTTAGAGGTAATATATTGTCATTTTTATTCCTTTTCAAGAGCCTTGACTTAATGTTAATGGAACATGTCATGTTTCGGATAAGTTGTATGACTGTACTTTCTTGGCTTGATCAGAGCATTCTGATCCTTCGTGAGACTTCCTTCCTAAAGAACAAGTTTTGTTTAGAAAGCATATGGTTTAGAATAGAACATATGGTTTAAATACTTTCTGGAGATGGCACTTCTTTGTACCTGACCTTAATTTCAATTCCTCGAATACCGTACCTTTGTCTGAGATTTAGTGTATACTTATGCTGGGCATGAGGATCCTTATGAGATGATGAGAGTGTAAAATTGGACAATTTCATTTGTTTTACTAGTATTGAATTTCTTGACTTACCCTAGTTCACCAAGAAGGGACTACTAAGTAACTCGTGAGACTTGAGTAGCATAATTGGTGGTGATTTTTGAAAATTTCTTCTCCTTGTTCAATCATGTGTGAAAAGATTGCCGTGGCAATGTGAGTGGAGTATCCTTCTTCTTTGTCTTCTTTAGTCAATATCCACTGTCATAGTTCAGTTGCAAGGATTGTGACTAGTGTTTAGTAATCTAAGAACCATATGTTATTTTCATAAGATCTATTGCAGTTCTACATCCTGCTTATGTAGGCTTTACCTTTCAAGCATTGCTACTGTATATCAACAATTATTTGTTTTTTCTTTTCCTTGATGCTTTATCATTTTTGTGTCTATTGTTGGGTGCCTCTACAAAGACATGGCTGTGTGGGAATTTAGTGATTGAGAGAGTAAAGAAGCGGCTAGGAGTATGGAAAAAAAGATGCTTGTGGAAAGAAGGAAAAAATGGTCTGCATATTGGAAAAAAGATGTGTGGGAATATGGCATTCTGCAACTGCATATTGGCTCTCGAGTCCTTCTCAATTCCTTTCAACTCCAAATCTTTTGTACACTCTGTACATGCTAAGATATCAACTTTCAACACTACATGATTTATCATAGTTCGGGTCGAACCACACGAAATTTAGTATTCCAAGTCCAACCCGAATTTTCAGAGTGTTACATGGAAGCATGGTTAGTTTCTGTGAGTATATGAGAACAAGTTGACGAAAGTCTATTCTAACACATACAGAATGTCTTGCCAAAGTGAGATGACAGTTCAACAAATTTGTAGGTCTCATTGGGATTTGAGATTTTGGAGCAATCTACATGATAGGGAGGGGGAAGAATTTCATAATATGGTTGAGTTTTTAGTGTGGGCAAGATATATTGAACGATAAATTGGATGTATGTAAATGGTGAGAGAGTAGAGATGGTCTATTCACTCTTTAATTTTATTACAAGAGTTTACCAAGGAGAGGAATGTAACTTTCCTCATTGCTCTATACGGGTTTCCAGGGCATTGAAGCAACTGGCTACTCATAGAGAAATTTTCTTTAAAAAGAGATTTCCTCATATAGTCAACCTAATGAGTTTAATACAAGCTGTAGGCTGGGTTGTATCTGCAAGTGGTTTTTCTTGGCTTAGTTGAAAGCAAGGGGAATGATCTGTTGTTCTTTTTTGAAGGAAAGGAGAAATGTTTAAATCAAGGGGAATTTTTTTGACAGTGGAAAGCCTTAGAAATAGGAGGGTCATCTATGTTAGTTGGTGTTTCATGTGCAAATGTTAAGGCAAAAATATAGATCATCTTCTATTGTATTGTCAAGTGGCAAATCAATTGTGGAGGGTGGTTCTTAACTGATTTGAGCTGCAATGGGTGATGCAAACTAGTGAAGGAGATGCTGCATAGCTGAGGGTATATAAGAAGGGGAGAGAGAAGTCAAAGGGCACGGAAGGTTGCCCCTTTAGCAATTATGTGGGTTATTTGGAAAGAGAAAAATATGAGAGCTCTTGAACGGGTTGAGCAAAATTTTATAAATTTGCAAAATAGTCTTCTGTTTCTAGTTTTCTTTTGGTGTACTCATGAGATCCCTATTTGTATAGAAGATTGGCCAATGAGATCCCTATTTGTTTAGAAGATTGGGTTTCTTTCATTAATAACCATGTTTGATGTAGGTTCTCGTTTCTAAGTATTTGGCTTGTATAGGGTTTCCCTCTTATTGTTAATAAAATTATTTACCCTAAAATAATTTCCTTGCTAATTTTCTGCACACTTTTTATCAGGTTGGTTTGATGTTAAGAGGCATGGGATTTGACAAGGTTACATCCATCTATTTAGCATCTGGAAAAATATACGACTCTGAGCGACATATGAAACCACTATTAGAAATGTTTCCTCTTTTACAAACTAAAGAAATGCTGGCATCCCCAGAAGAATTAGGCCCATTTCAGGTTTAAATTGTTTGATTTTCCTTCCAGGCATTTTAGTTCCCCCCTCTCACCCCTCCTCTTTGGCTACTGTCTGACTCAAGTTATTGCTTATAGAATTACTCTTCCAGGATGGCTGCCATAGACTATACCGTTTGCCTTCATAGTGAAGTATTCGTGACAACTCAGGGAGGCAATTTCCCCCACTTTCTGTTGGGGCATAGAAGATACTTATATGGCGGGCACTCCAGGACCATCAGGCCAGACAAGAGGAAGTTAGCTTTGTTATATGATAATCCCAATATCGGGTAAGGTTTTGGTTAACTTTCTGCCATCTTTTTTTCTGTTTACGTGAGACCTTTCTAGTGTGCCTGTATATAAACTGAAAGAAGCTCCCCTATCCAAAAAAAATAAAAAAGGACAAAAGAAACTGAAAGAAGCAGTTATGGGGATCGAAAACCCCTTTGGTAAGTCTATGCAGTCTTGTATGTTGGCTTTGCATTGCTTTTGACCGTGTATGTTTTCCATGCGCTCATCTTACAGGTGGAAGAGCTTCAAGCGGCAAATGCTTAGTATACGAGCACATAGTGATTCAAAAGGAATTGAGATTAAAAGACCAAATGACTCAATATATTCATTCCCTTGCCCAGATTGCATGTGTCGGACTAACAGGACTGAGGATTCTAGATCCTCCTCAGTAACGTGACCTATGTGCCTGTCAATAGGTGGTGTTCTTATTCTCGTAGTACGCATGAACTTCCGCTGCTATCCTGTGTGCATGTCAGCAGGTGCTGTTCTTGCTCTTGTAGTACATATGAACTTCAGCTGCTAACTGTGTGATTCTTTCATTTTTTTTCCTTCCACTATGGAGAGGGGCTTACTGGATCTTGGAGCTGCTTCTGGGATTTGTGTGACCGATCAATTTGATCATCTCCCGGGCACACGTTTGAGGGTACACTTTTGTACTTGATGGTGCGAGGAAGAATGGGGAAGTCATTTCCATCAGTGATGTAACCCCGATCATTGATTTCCCATAGCAGATTCATATTCTTCCAGCTGCTGTATCTAACAAGTCGTGAGTTGACACGAAATATATTTGCACATTAGTTTCATGAGAGAGGATTTTGCACATAAGTGAAGTAGGAGTCCTAGATTATAGGAACAGGATGAGAAGAGTGTAGGGTTATCAGAAATCAGGGTTCCAAAGTCTTACTTTGGATAACCTTTCTTGCCAATGTTAGATGATCTCTCCATTGTTGATATTTATTTGTCTCAGTTTCACTAGATTTATCATCTCATTTCAGAGCTCACTACAAATGTGTGGAATTTTCCTTGATTAATTGTGGGCGTAATACATAAATATGCCCTTTAACTTGACTTTAATTCACATTTATGTCCTCCAACTTTGGGTAAACTTGTATAAAAATTGAATAAATAGACATATGCATCCTACGTGACAATAGACTCGTGTGTTTCTTTATTCAACTTTATACAAGTTTAAGTGTCTATTTGTGCACATCCAAAATTGAAGGACATAATTGTGAAATAAGATTAAGTTAAAGGGCACATTTATGTATTATGCCATTAATTGTGTCTGACGAAAGCATTTACCATAGTATGTGCCAAATGCTACTTATAAATGGCTGTGCTTGATTTGGAAACAAAGTTGGTCACACAAATTTCGGAAAATTTATAGACTAATACCCATGAAAAATTAAGATAATTTTGAATTCCTATTTTGTGATTTATACCGTTCAAAAAGTGACGTTTGCCTTTAAAAAATAATGAGTGTCATTTAATAGGTTATCAGTTGTCACCAATGGACCCAAAAATCTTCGAGCTCACACAACGTCGGTCACACATATTTTGAAAAATTCAAGTATTAGTATACACAAAAATTCAAAATGATCCCAAATTTCTGTTTTGAGATGCATATACTCCAAAAAAGTAACTTCCTATTTCGTAAAGTTTGAGCCAACAACGATTTGGGCATTGATATAAATGAAAAAAATTACATAAATGCACATTTTATTTTACCATAATCTCTAAAATTTTCTATAGTTTTAAAAAAGTTACAAAAATCTCTTCTCGGATACATCCCTATCCACTCTCAGATACATCCTTCCCCTCTTGGATACATCTCCTTATCCCCTGTCAGATACATTCTTCCCATTAAGTAATGTATCATCCGTAATCTGTGAGCTATGTATTCACAGATTTCTTGAGGACTTGATGTATCCAAGATCCTATAAATATAAAGGGTTTTAATAATTTGGAAAAGAATATGTTTGATAGAATATAATTAACTCTTAATACTATGATATTTTATGTAATTTTTACGATATAAATTGCTCAAAATGTAACCCATTATTCATGAAGGAGCCCAAATCTAACCTGTGAAGATGTATAGGCCCAATTTGCAGCTGAAGGTAATGTCGACAAGTCTTGTACCTTGAAATACGATTTATAGAACTTGTTTTCCACACTTTCGTTAGGGAAGTCATTTTTTCTACTTTTAGAAATTTATTTTCCTAGAGAAGACATTTTCCAAAGATTTTGACCAACAAATATAAAAAAATTGAAAAACATTTCTTGAAAAAGTTTTCCTTCATACCGAACACACCCTTAATCCATTAAAGTTGGCGGCTTATAAGTTTGGGTATGTCATTAATCCGCTAATATATTACCTTAATTTACTTTAAATCATAAATTAACTTAGTTTATTTTAATCCACTCAAATTTTGTCTATTTAATAGTTGAGTTGTTTGGGCTAAATTCATTTATACAAAACTTTATCAAAATATTAATAAATTTTTTATATAGCCATATAAAAAAAAGGTATTTCTTTTTATGAGTTTTTTTTTTTTTTTTTTGATAATTGAACAAATTATATTAAAAAAACTAAAATTAAAAATTCAGGAAATTACACCCAATAACTTTAAAAATGGTGGTCTTGAATTTTTAACCCTTGCTTATCTTGTGGTCCTTCAAAGTCAAAATTAATTTATGAGGCAAAACTCGATAAATTTAAAGTTCTTTTCAATATCCATAAAGCAAGAAATGTCAAAAATTGAAAAATGTTCATTTTTGTAAAATACACATCAAAAACATGAGTTGACCAACCATTGGGCAGGGATTAGATAGTGACCATTTCATTATTTTAGCTTATTATGACCCGTCTAAATTCGATCCGATCATTTATTTGCCGCACTTAGCCTCTTGTATTTTGTCCCAAACATTCTTTCTAGGAAAAATTACTTAAATACACAACACTTCTTTACTTATTCTCAATATTTCCCTACTCTTTTACTAAAATACAAAAATCCCTTATTTTCCCCCAATTCAACTTAACCGGATACTTTATTAATTTAAGTATCCGTCCGTTATTAATTAAAGTATCCGCGCTGCTATATTTTGCATCCGCATGTTAATTAAGTATCCGTGATGCTAACAACTTAATAATTTAAGTATCGCCCGTTATTAATTAAAGTATCCGCGCTGCTATATTATGCATCCGCCCGTTAATTAAGTATCCGTGCTGCTAACAACTTAATAATTTAAGTATCCGCCCGTTATTAATTAAAGTATCCGCGCTGTTATATTAAGTATCCACACTGCTATATTATGTATCCGAAAAACACTAAAAAAAGGGATTTTTGGTAATTAATAAAAGAGTAGGGAAAGGAAGTAATTTCTTTCTTATACTATGTCATTTGCCTAATTTTTACTTCTTTCTATCCCATGCTTTTATAAAGGATAAATCAGTGCCTTGTCCCTTTTTAATTCTCTAAGTAGTGTAAATTGACATGAGTTTGAGTGCATATTGACATGTTAATATTGAAATTCAGACTATACTATAACAAATAAAGAATTTTGTGGCAATTATTTAATGATAATAATATAATTATCGTTATATTATATTTAGTGAAAATAATTATTATAATCAACACTTTATACAAATGTCGCTGAAGACTTTAGCGATTCTGGATGTAATAACATAACTCAATTGCAGCTAAATGTTTTTGCAGCAACAAATATGATAGCTAAAAGAAAAATATATTGTCACTAAATGTCTTTTTTGTTGTAATATTATAAATCTCTCGTCCCAAATTACTTGTCATATTTTTTTCTCGACAGTCAAATTACATAAACCTTGACCAATATTTTAAGATATATTTTTTCATCATATTAAAATTAGAGAAATTGCAACTTATAGAGATATTTTTCATTTAGTTGTCAATATCTATATTTTAAGTTTAAAATTTAAAATACTTTTAATAATTAATCATATTAATTTTCGAAAAGTGAAATATGACAAGTATTTTGACGACTGATGGAGTAAAGTGCAAGTTTTACATGCTTTAACGTACCTAAAAGATTTGTTTGTATAGTTCAATTTGGGCAAATGTGGATTGGAACATTTTTATCATTGACTTTGGCAATGCCGTGGTGGAAATGAAATAGAACATTAGTTGTCACGATATAATGAATTTTTTAAAATATATTTTACAATTTTCACACTTGTTATAACAAGTTATTTTATTTTAAGTTACGATAAAGAATCAAGCTAAGAAATGAGTATTATACAAGTTATATTAAAAATATCATGCATGCATCTCTTAAAGTATCAACATGAGACTCTTAATAAATATCACGAATACAACTTTGACATATCAAATCATAAAGCCAACTTAATCTAAGAGTTAGTTAAGGAGGTGAGGATTTCATAAGTCAGAAGAGACTACCTACCACATAAAGCACCAATATGAAATTCTTCACAATTACAAATCGATGAGCGATTGATTAGAATTACTTGTTATTATTCTCTTTGAAATGATCTGAAGCCTTTTCCAAATTTTGAATTGTCGAAACAAGAACTTCATGTGAGAGTTGAAGCTCCAAAAGGAGAATTGGGGATTTTTCTGATAGGAGTGTACATTTTCTTACATATATTATCTATACATAGAAATTAAACTCATATAAAAATTAAAGAACTTGAAGTTATTTTATATTGATAATGTAATGAATTTCTCACAAAATCAATGTAGTATGAAATTTTCACGTAATCCATTAATGTAATTTAGTTTGTTACAATAGATTACTTATGTAGTTATGTTTATTAATTCTAGGCTATGAACAACGCAAGTATTGAATAGAGTTGTCTACGTATTATTTTTTTAATTAAGTGATTTGATTGTAGAAATATTTATATACCCTCTGCATAAAATTTAATTTAATTTAATTTAAACTCGAAAATAATGCAATTTCATTACATGTGAAAGTATCACAAAAAAAGACGTGAAAGAAAGTTGTCTATAGGCCTAAATGGTCTTGGTGCAGGTATGTGTTGCTATTGTCTACTCTTCCTTGTGTTCACATACAATTCCTTAAATTTTCTAATTTCTTTCGGTGAAAAATTACACTATAGATATAAACTTAATTTAGTTATTTATGTATAATTATTAAGTTATGAATCCCACTTTAGTTCTGGGCCGAAGGGTTTAGTGGTTACCTCATTATTATGGATTTGATTGTTGCTACAGACATTTTTTTACCTTTTTGAACTTACTTGCCGAAAGTTACGACTCTACCTCTGCCTCTAGATAAGGTTGCAAATTGTATACATATATGTATAGCTTATATATTTTCTTTTTAAAAAAGTGCATAATTCAAATGGATACAATAAAATTGTACACTTTGTAGATTTTACGCTCTAAAATTAAGATATAACCTTTTGATAGATTAACACAAGATATAACCTTTTGACAGATTAACACAGATATAATAGACGTTTGACTATATATTTTAATTAAAAATACTTTATTTAAAATTATTAATTTAATTTAAATATCTTGTGTGAGTAAATTCTTTACCAATATACGATATCAGTGTGAACTGAAACTCAATTGTAAGAATTATGGGAGAGGTATGGAGATTGGAGAGCATATATAATGTCTATTAATGATATAGATATAATGAACAATTAATTAATGAGGGAAGTACAAGTCTGAAATCGACGGTGGCCAATAATTCAATTAATCAAGACTTTAAAAAATATAATATATCACACATTGCATTCATATGAACCGTTATATTTTATTTAATGAACCTTATATAATAATGAGCTCGATAATTACTTCCTTAATTTTAAATTATATGTTTGTTACACGTCTCTTGCAAAATAATAGTAGTTAGAAGGCTTTTCTTCATTATTTCACCCTCATTTATATTTTAAAGAGATATTATAGTTTATTTCACCAAATTTTTAGAAGATAAAAAATGCTTATTTTAAAAAAAT